ATTATTTTTTAACTTGTTGATTCTAAAACCGATCGTCACCTTTTCAATCCAAAAAAAATTCGTATTATATCTAGATGCTATATAAATCATTTTATCTACATATACTAATTTACAAAATTTAACTTTTACATTAGTCCTACAGCAAGAAATTTCAAAATAGAAAGTGTTCTTCAACTGCAAAGCAGTTCTATGAATGTAATAAGTTTCAGAAACTGTATTTACTATGATTTAAGGCTTTAAAATTTTAATATTTATAACAAAGATTTCAGGAGGCGTCTTGGCATTGAAATAATGGAATACTAATCCAGAATTCTTAAAAAGTCCTCCAACAAAGGCATCCTTTCTTTTAGGCAGATAGCCCTAGAATGCTTTACATTAGTCAAATAAGCCAAAGCATACTGTTACTGTAAAAAAAAAATATTGTATTTTTCTTACATAATTTCGACTGCAAACGTTATATTTGTTACTACGGAAAGATTTTATTTTTATGTTAAATTCTGAATGCTTGAATTTTTATAATACACAGAAACAGAGAATACAAAAAACTAAAAAAATATTCATAATTTACTAGGATATATAAACAAAATAATCATTGTTAAATAGATTTTTAATAAGAATAAAATTTTGGAAAAAATAAATGATTAATGTATACTTTACGTCGTACTTCCTAAAAAGCTTGTTTGTTTTAATTGAAACGATGAAACATTCTTGAATCATCTGACTAAGAAGTGGAATGCTTTCGTGAAAGATTCTGAAAGGAAACTTGGCTCATAATTGTATTTCACACAGAGAAATCCTAAAAAGTTCCTATGTAGCTAGGCTGTACGCCATGATTTGAATCCGTATCGAAGGACCAGATTTTGTGGTCTTATCCAGTCGGCCATCAGAAAACCCAATTTCGTAGAAAACTACAAGAATCGAGTCATTAAATAATTTGCTATTGCATTGCATCGGCTAAATAATTTGCATGTCACATAGATTTTAAAATTTAACATACCACGCAAAGTCATATTTTCCTAAATAGATATGGGCTAGCCAACGGTCGAGCGGTAATATCCTTGAACACTGGTAGTTCGACCCGGACTCAAGTTCTGGGAAACAGGTTGACTGCATGGACGCTTCAATGATTTTCCTTCTGTGTTTCAATACCAGCCAATTTCCCTTGGTAAGTTCTCCACGAAGACATACTTTCATTAGTAAGATAACACTTTCCTTACTTTGCCATAATCAAATAAACTAAACTAAACCTAAAACTGTCATATGTTTTGCCGCCTTTTTAAAGGAAGTTTCACATTCAACATCCCTTACAGTAATGAGATAATTTTACTTGTTCGCATATGCCGTATTGACATATTTTACCCGTTCAAATATTCAAGAGGATATTTATAACTCAATTTTGGCTGATCATGGAAATAGACGATAGAAATGGATCTTTACGTAGATCTTGTGCAGTTGTTATATTGTGTTTTAACTGACTGCCTATGATTTTTATACATTTAGATAACATAACTTTAAGAATATCAAATTTATGTACAGAAATATTGCTTTAGATGAACTATAGAATGAATATTACAAAAAGTATTTTTCAGAAAGGCAATTTAAGATGGAAATTATTGTGCGATATTCATTTTAAAACAATACTTTCCTCCTTAAAGTTATAAGGTATTTTCTTCCTCTTTTCTGCATGCCTTCGTGGTATAATGTAGTGCATTCGGCGTATATTTAAGAGCTCCAAGGTTCGAGTCCCGGCTAGGGCTTTGCTCATTTTTTATGTGTCTCCTCCACAAACAACCTAATGTTCTACAGTGTCGTCCGAACTAAAAAAAGGGGGGATGGATGATGATTCTTCACCACCAGGATTTGGCAGTTGGGTCTTCTTATCTCCAGTCGGCCTTTAAAAGGTGGAGCATATAAGGTATTTTCTAACTTCTCACTGCATCCTTCGTGGTGTAATGGTAGCACTCTCAGCGCATATTCGAGAGGTCTGGGTTCGAATCCCGGCGAGGGCATTGCTCATTTTTCACGTCCTTAGCATGAAAAAAACCTTATGACTCTACGAATTGTCTTTCTGAAAACAATATCTGGTTTCATGTATAATATTTTACAAAAGGTATTTAAAGAAAATTTAATCAGTTATTCTTTAAATTTTGCTTTAAAAAAAGTGTATTTAATGTGTTTCTCTTCAAGATATGCTATTTAGATTACTTTTTATCTTTCCTGTAAAATATTTACAAACAAATAAAGCTCATATGTTTGAAATTGTTTGATATTCAAACCATATATTTATTTATTTTGAAACATCTTTAAAAATCTGATGCGGACATCACGTGACTTCCTTGTACACCAAATGAATTAAACACATTTTTTGCTAAACTTCATTTAAACCTATTTCATTGAAAATAAAATAGGCTCTTTCATTTCAAAATGCCCATTTGGAACTGCCGATTGCAATAAAAAAGAGGTGCACAACTAGATGTTATAGCAATCGCATACAGAAACTTTCAACATTTTATGGTTTACTGTTTTTGAGTTATGCGATATACATGAATACGTACGTACGGACGCACGTCGCGCTAAAACTAGTCATAAGTTCCAAATATAAAATTTCAGCATTTATGGTGAAGTTATGCGACATACGTACGTGTAAGCATCATGATTGAACTAATCAAAATGGAAATTTCCCTTGAAATATGAAAATCAAAATTTTTCCCGATTATAATACTTTACTTATTTCTCACAAGTGAAAACGATGTCATAAATAACTAACTTCTAATAAATTTATGATGCAATCTAAAGAATTATTTAAATATAATACTTTAATCTGGAATAAACTTAAAGTATTTGAAAACTAAATATAAACATACTATTAAAATAATTTGCGAATAATTTGTATTCGAAAAATTAGAACATGAGGGCAAAAATTCTCTTTGTATATTAAAAAGGTATTTTCTAAGAAAATAACTGTAAAGAATGCAAGATAAATTTTTCACCATCATCGAAGTAATTCCTTAAAGAAACTGGAAATTTAAAGCATTTTACTTAGTTTCTATTACTTATGCATATTTACTAACTTTCTTATTCGGGACATATCTTGATTAAGGTACGAGCAATATACAACATATGTGTTAGTATGCAAACTATAACGTAGCCAAATAGGAGATAAAATAACATTTTAGCAACCAATCCTGTGACGAAGATACCATAGGGAGAAAAACTAATTTCACTCGCTAAATTCAATGGAGAGAATTAGCTTAATTATATCCATATGCTTTTGAAGTAGTTTGAGTCGAAATACTTGCCGTTTTTGTGACAGACCAGATGAGTACACACACGATTATTTTTCATGCCGTTTCCTGAAAAAGCCGTAATGCTCGGGGGGTTAAATCTTTTTACACCCCCCTTTCAAATCAAATTGTTAGACACGAGAAGGTTTGAAAATGATCGAACTAGGTTACCTTTTGCATGTTTCACAGATTTGAATCATAGTAAGCAAAATCAGATATCCTCCCATTACGATTACTGAAAGGATTTGAAAGAAAGCTTTCCAAAGAAATGCAATCATTTGTTAGCTTAATTCTATATGATTAATAATTTGTTAGCTCCAATTTTTTTGCTTGGCATATATCGTGGTACTTTTCTGTTATCATGACAGGATTTAAAAATATATGATGGATGTGTTCATGTGCGCATGCATTTATGTTTGTGTCTATGTATATGTTTGCATACACACACACATATATATAAGCCACTTAAGTGTTTGTTGCCGATAGTTTATTGGTTGCCACTCGGAAAAATGAGCATGGAAATTAATGTTTTCGCAGTTTTTAATTAATATCTCAGCCGATAAAAGTCGTACGAAGATGAGAACTGTATCGATGGATTCGGAGAATTTTTTGGAATCTGAGGATACGCGTCTCGGATTTCAACTTGGCGCTGTTCCGTAGATATTCTAGAAAAAAAGAATTTGGCACGTAGCTAAATCCCTCTAATAGGGAAAACCCAAGAAAGAAAGTGGAAAATATAGGGGAAAATTAGTTTTTAATTGATATCTCTGCTAATAAAGCCCCACGAAGACACGAATAGTCAAAATGGCGTACCACAGACCTATGGAATCCAACGGTGTGCTTCACTAAGCCCAGGAGCCAGCCATTTCAGAGGAGATGATGTTACTTCGTCCCATATATATATGCTACTTAAGTGTACAAAACTTTCAGTTCTAGTTAACAATCCCAATTCCAATCCATCTTTACCCTCAACTTTTAATCAAATTACTTCATAGCTGTTTTCTTTCTATCAATAGATTGTGCCAGTAGCTTGATTTCCTTCCTTCTCATTTTTATCAGCTTCTCTTTTGTCATTTGCACTTCTGCAGCAGAAGAGGATTGTATATTCAAACCTTTGAAACTAATCTTGCAAATATAAGAATACTGATTCTTTTTGCTTTAGTGCCTCTTCCAATCATTATCTGGCATATTATTTTAACACTACTGTTTCATATTTTTAATTTCATAATTTCCCATATCATCTTTCTAGATTTAAACTAGTGAACTAAAACCTGGAATCACGAAAGCTGTACTGAATTTAGATCTCAGACTTTACTAGTTCTGACACTGTTTTTTTTTTTTTTTTTTTTTTTTTTTTTTTTTTTTTTTTTTTTTTTTTTTTTTTATTTAATTTTTATTATTATTATTATTATTATTATTAAAAACAACGGTACTTTGTTACCCCAATTATACAGTTATTGAAAATGTTTTATTGTAACTGAGTTTTTTTTATTATTATTATTCTTAGAGATTTGTGGCCTGGTTTAATTTTTGCTGTGAGTTAGTGGTTAGGAAACACGAGTGGAGGAAATTTCTTTCTTGAACCTCATATGTAACATGTATTGACAATTTCTTATATCATATGTCTGCATCATATTGTAATAAACTTACTTTGTATGAAAGCATAATTAATTTTGATTATTATGAGTTTATAATTTGATGTTTTCGCTGTTAAAGGTTCGAAAACAATTTGAAAATGAAGCACCTTTTGAAAATATTACGGTTGAATCTGAAAGGGTACGATTATTCAAAGAATATCAGCAGACACTGGAAGTAAGTGTATAACATCTCTACATTTAGAAAAGAATAATTTTCTTTATATATGTGTCTGTATGCAGAGAGATAGATAGGATTATTTTTCCATTTTAGGAAGCATGTAGCCATCATCATAGTAAATCTAAGAAGCATTCCAAAAAGTCTAAGAAACAAAAACGTCGCTCTAGGTCACATTCAAGATCTGTAAGAATTTTAACTGTTTCATTATTTATGTGTATTTAAACATTTATTTAAAAAAATTTATTAAATTTTAATTTCATTTTTTGTCTTCCCCCTAAGAGATCAGATTCTGAGGAGGATTATAGGCACAAAAGTAACAGAAAAAAGAAGCACAAGTCTCATTCTAGATCTAGGTCAAGGTCTAAAAGTCGATCATCTATAGATTCACGTGTTCGATCTGATGACGGTATGTGTAATTTGATGATATTTTTAAGTATTGAAAACTAGATTAATAAAAGCATTACCTCAAAAATATACTGATAAACAAAAATGTAAGAACTGAAAAGGCTTATATAAGTAATATTCCACATCTGTGCTTCAAATGAGTACAAACTGTAGCATTATCAATTTGTAGAAAAAGTAAAAAGCATTGACCAAGAAATAACCCAAAGGAGACAAAGAACATTTATTTAAAAGTGTGCGTGGGCATACCCATTGTAGTGCAGAGAGATGCACTTGCTCCCTACTAACTGCCTTCCCCCCCCCAAAAAAAAAACATAACCACCAGAACATTTGCTCTCTTTCTTATTATTCTGTTATGTGTTTTCTCGCGAAGTCTGGTTTCTAGACATCTTAATGCACTCTCCACCGGAACATTGGTGAATAATGATTTTACATCAAAAGAAACCATGAGTAAATTTCTAGGAGAATTTCGCAAATTTCATTTCTCTTGCATCGAAATTGATGAGCTAATTTCTCTCACTCTGTTTGAAACAAACACATTTTGTTTTCCAAAATAAATATTACAAGCAAACTGAGGGATTAGGCATGGGAAGCCCCCTCAGTCCTATGTTGACTATGTTGTCCTATGTTGGCTGATATCTACATGCATTATTTATGAATCAAAAATTGTTTGAAACTTTAAACTTCCTGGCATGGTTCCGCTACGATAGACAATACTTTTACCTCTGTTTGAAGGTAATAAAGATGATTTAAATAACAGTTCTTTCAACAGTGAATTCCCATTGATCCTGCTATTTAGTTCACTTTTGAACTTGCAATTCTCTTCTGTTTCTCGACATTCTGGTTACACGTAACACATCCAACTTCAGTGCTATGGTTTACCATAAACTTTCAGCAGTTTGCCTTCCACCACACTTCAAATCATGTCATCCGACTAAACAAAACTTAGCTTTAAGTTTTAAAGTCTGCTCTTCAAGTTTGATCCTCCTAACTATCCCTTAATGAAGAACTAAATTATTTAGATGCAATAGCTATTGACAGGGGCTTTTCACCCAACATTATTAATCAAACAGTTAAAAATTTCTCATCTCAACACACCAAAAGGCACACTTTTGTTTTAGGAGATTATAAAAATCCTGTTGTCATTCCCTTCTTTCCATCAATTAGCTGTAATGTTGCACGTATTTTGCAGAACTGTAACTTTTGGGTCGTTATTCTCCCATCAATAAAATTCCAAGTTCCATACTCAAGGACCCCATTTTGGATATGAATTCCTGGGGTATTTACAGGATTCTTTGCCAGTGTGGTTTAATTTACATTGGCCAAACTAAGAGAGCCTTAAAATTTCGCGTTAAGGAACATGAGGCATATATTAGAAAAAAGGAAACACAGAAGTCTTCTGTTGCTCTACATTGTTTGTCCGAAAATCACACTTTCAATTTTTCTGCTGCCCAAATTATTCAAAAAATCTTCCATTGGAGAACTTGATTTTCTAGAGGCATTTCACATCCAAAAACATCTTTCTGTTCTAGTTAACGAGCCTAATTCCAATCCGTCTTTGCCTTTAGCCTTTAAAGAAATTATGTTTTAGTTCTGGTTTCACCAACAGATGGCGCCACTTGCTTGTTCTTGTCCAGGCTTTCTTATCTTACCTAATCATTATTTCCTATCTTGTTCATTTGCGGTTTTGCAGCTGAGGATGGTGGTTCGGTAAAACCATCGAAACTAGTCCTGTGAAAATTTTGAAAATATAACGCTGATGTTTGTTGTTTGACTTCTGAATTAGTATTTGTTTGACGTATTATTGTATCTTAATTAATCTATCTATGTCAGTAATTGCAACCCAGTTTTATATTTACATTTCAGCAGGCTTTTTTCACTATCTTGTGTGCGCCTTTATGCTGTGGAAACGTAAAATTTAGTGCTGTTTATATCTATTTTACATTTTTCACCCAATCAATCTGAAATCAACTCGGTAAAGTTATTCACAAGAGTTCAAGGTAATTTATTGCTTTTTAGCATACAGTGAATATAAGAAAAGTTTTGAAAATGAGTTTTATCATCTTATCACTTTTTATAATTATTGTTTATTATACATTATTTTTTAACCAAATGGGCAAACATTTCCAATTTTTTATATGCATCTAGAATAAATGTAATGCAGAGGCAACTGAGATGCTACAGTAAATCAAGCAGAACAAGTTATTGTTCAGCAGAACTCAATTAAGACAGTTTGAGGATATATAACATTCTCTTTGAGAGGGGGGGGATTTATCTGTGAGAAGAAAATCAGTCATAAGGAGTCTCGTGTAATAAGTCTTGAATGTTTTTATAAAGCCTTTGTTTTAGTTGAAGCAAGCTGTTTTTTCTGCAAACTTTTGTGTGTGAGTCAAAATCATTTATGGGAGGCTTGTTGCATTAGTGGTAAGAATCATTATTTTAAACGAACTTTGTTTAAATTGCCAGTAATGTTCAACCACAGATGCAAAGTAGTGACGAAATCAATCCTCAAGAACAGAGGCTGCCACCTAATCTTTAAACTTTTATTTCCAAATCACATGTAAGTCAGCTTTAGACGTAGTTTGTAAAGCTTTTTGGATGATCAGAGCAATAAATTAAAAGTGTTTTAACTTGTAATTAACATTTGCATTCACATCAATCCACCTTGTCAGCTGATCTTCAAACACCTTAATATATGAAAAGTTTTTTTTGTGGGGGTCAGCGCAGTACAAATTCTGTTAGGCATAATCTTCCAATACAGGCTAATCCCATCTATGTTAAATAAAGTGTGGTTTCTATAGCCTTCTTTCCTAATCATAGATTAATTTCCTAATCCTAATTTAACATCTCAGAAAAATAAGATGCAGCCTCTTTATTTGTGTGTACTGCTTTTCTATCATGCTGTGCCAATTATAAAAAAAAATAAATAAATAAATAAATAAATATGATGAATCATCCAGTACTAGCTACAAAGTTTTCGTCTGTGGCCACCTCTTCAGCTTCTTCATTCAGACTCTCAAAAATCAGCTTAACTCATTAACACAATACTCTGATTGACTGGAGAATTCCTTACTCTTACTTGTTTATCATAAAGAATTCTCCAGTCAATCAGAATATTACTCTTACTTGTTTATCATGCTACCCAAAAGGGGATACAGTCAAAAGTCGTTAATTCGGACCTCAAAGCTAAAAACTTTCTGCGCATGCGCCGCGTTGACACATGCGCATAGGCGTGCTCGTAAGACCTTTACGACTGCGCATATGCATGTGCGCAAGTGCAGAATACGTTTTCGCGTGTGCGTTTAATGTATAACGGAGGGTATAAGCTAAAATTATCTAATTATCTATTTCAGTTAATGTTGATGATTGCATTGTTCCTTAATCTTCGAATTGGATGCGGCTTATTAGTTTTTGCAGACCATAAGAGCAATTTTATAAAAGTAAACTTGAACTTTCGATTATGTCAAATAGAATTTCCGATGCTGGAGCTCCCAGAGGATCTACAAAACGAAAGTATGTTTCGATGTCCGTCAAACAAAAAGTGGAATTGCTGCAAAAAAATGGATAAAGAAGAACATGAAGAAGGTAACAGAGAGGTTAGTGAAAATGAAAAAATTTCGATTGACGAACTAGTCCGACACAGCAATTAGAGGACTTGAACAGTGGAACTTTGTAACTGAACAAGAAATTATGTCTGTTTATAGAATTAAAGAGAATGTATTATCGCATAAAAAACGAAGCAACTTAAACAACTTACATTGAAAGAAATGTTTAATAAAGTAAACAAAAATATTAAGCTTTTTTTTTTTTTTTTTTTTTTTTTTTTTTTTTGTAAATTTTGATACCTTTAGATCATAATTGTTCTTTATTTCATAAATGTTGCAACAACGAAATATTAAATTTGGATGACAAAAGAAAATTTTAAATTTTACTTAGAAAGGGAATTACAGCAACCTAAACATCATATGAAGCCATCAAAATCTGATTCTTCACTATCTGAATTAAAAATATTTAGTAAATCCTGATCTAAGTCCAAGTCTTCCAGATCATCACATTCATCCTCTTGGTTTACAGTCTCTTTATCTAAGGATATAATTTCAGCTTCTTTGAACCCTGCTATTATTGACGAAAATTTTACCGATTTCCACATACTTCCTATCAACTTTGCAACTTCTTCATAAGATGCTCTACGCATTTTACCACTTTTGGTATACATATGCAATCCTTCACTCATCCAACACTCCCACCGCTTTCGGACTTCAGCTTTGAAGGATTCATTACCTGACAAATCTAATGGTTTAAGATTTTTGTCAAACAACCAGGAATTATTGCTACGGTCATAGACAATTTTTGACATCTGGTTTTCACTGACTCAAGTAAATGAGCACACATGGAATCCATTATCAATAACCCTTTTGATTGGAAAAAAAGATCCCTTACGACACTGCTGAACTTTTTGTAGCCACTTGTGCATGATAATTATGTTATTAGGAAAATCTCCCTTTGGAAATAGTTTTCCGTTTAAAAATGACCATCGGCTTTAGCTTGTCACTGTTTGCGGCACAAGCTAACACACATGTAAATGATGTTCTTTCATGCCCCGTCGTAAGCACAGATACAGTTTTTGCACCAGTTTCATCAACAGTTCTGTTTGCAGGAGAGTCAAAAGCTAACACGGCGAATTTCATCCATATTTATTATCTGTGATGACAAGAAGTTTTCTTTTTTTTTTTTTTTTGGGGGGGGTCAATAATATCTGTTCAGATATTTTAGAAAAGATGCCTTTTTATCCAGGCAGTCCATTGGTAATTGTTGCCAGACTGTTGTTCTAGTACGCACAGAAAATATTTTTTCTTTTCATAAATCTGCTACACCAGCAAGGCTCTCCTTTGAAATCATTTATGTTCATTTGTTTTGCCATAGATTTTGCTTGTTAAGTGAATTTTTACAGTCGAAATTGCCATTCCCTTTCCTTGTTGCTCCTCTTGCCCAGTTTTGCAAGGT